ATTTATAAATGAAATAATTAAAAAGGGCAGAAAAAATAGAAATACACATCTAAATTAAATGACTGAACAAAAAAAATGAATAAAAGAAGTAATTACTTCAAACTTCAAAGACTGGGGGGGTGGGGGGATCTGTCAATGACTTACTGACGAGCACGAAAACCTGGACCCGGAACCCGGAAATAACGTCTCTAGGTAGATTTTTCGTATTTTTTGTGCGTGGGTTAAAAAATTAGCTTGCTATTTGTGCGTGGGCGGCCCTAAAAACACCACTTTTTCACTCCACCTGTCTTTACTGCCTATCCCATCACACAGAATAAGAGTTCATCTCATGTACAGCTCTGCAAATTAGTCACAATAACGTTTCTTCAAACTGTCTGGCTGTTGTATAGTCTATATTTCTTGCAAATATACATCTCATATAAAGCACAACACTGCTCTTCTCGGTTCGGCGGCACCGGCGCCCTTAGATCCCTTAGGCTACACTGTGATAACAGAGGAAAGAATTGTCTGCTTTATTTTCTATACTTCCACAATAACAACAAAACGTTACAAATTGCTTTTGTAAAATAACAGGCGCGCTTTCTGGCGCACCTTGTTATGTCTAAAGGTCTACTTAAATAAAACAATCGAAAACAAATGTGTGTTTATTTAATTCGTGTAGCCTAAATCCAACAAGAGGTACTGTACAGTCTTTCCCGTCTGAGCTCATCTGTGTTTTGTGCTCACACCCAGGCGCAGCGCAGCCTATTCCTTCAAGTATAAAGCAAAGCCTGGAATTTTAGCCATAAGAAGAACGCGATGCGCGGTGCTATGCGTGGCTTGATTCAGCTAAAGATATCATTTAATAATATATAATCACTAATAGGCCTACATAATTAATATATAATCAGACTAAAGTATCAAAGCATCATTTGTTTACCCACGAACAAAAATAGGCCTGCGAAAAATCTAGCTTAATTTTCGTTTGCTCGTTCATCTCGTTATTACGAGAAAAGATGTCGTTTTAACAAGAAAACATCTCGTTATTACGAGAAAAGATGTCGTTTTAACAAGAAAACATCTCGTTATTACGAGAAAAGATGTCGTTTTAACAAGAAAACATCTCGTTATTACGAGAAAAGATGTCGTTTTAACGAGAAAATATGTAGTTTTAACGAGAAAACATCTCGTTATTACGAGAAAATATGTTGTTTTAACGAGAAAATATGTCGTTTTAACGAGAAAACATCTCGTTATTACGAGAAAATATGTCGTTTTAACGAGAAAAGATGTCGTTAAGACGACATAACATCTCGTTATTACGACATAACTGAGTGGGAAAAAAAATGTGTGTGTGGCATCAATGTGTCACCGTATTAATGTGCACCTAGAATGACCGCAGATGAGGTATTAAGTGAATGGCACTGCGACCAACTTTACATTTTACAGAGTTTAATGTGGTCGCTCAGTTTTTCTAGATCAGTTTTAATCGTGTAATAGATCTGAACAAGGAAATCAATTGATACACAAAGGCAGTATTGGCCATGACTTGATTGTAAATACAAATACACGGTACTTATTAAAAGAATCACCCTTTTATTTAAATATATGAAAACAGGAAAACAAGGTTAACAAGTTAATGTAACATTATGACTAGTAAAATAATGGCAACTGACTGTCTGGATAATATTGAACATGGTTCTGAGATATATACATCTGCAGACCCGCAGCATGGATACTATTGGTTCTTCTCGGAGTAGTGAGCGGCGCGCTGCGTCTTCTTCTTGTGTGACAGGTGTCAGCGTTAAGGCGCAATACTGCCACCTGGGAGGTCAACCAGGTACTGGCGCTGGAGTAGGCTATTTGTGTGTCGTGTTAACATAAGTGTCCTGTTCATTTTAAATATCACGGTTATCGCCAATACCGGTATATCGTCACACCCTAAATTAACACGATGTCGATATTTCATTATTTGAATATCACGGTTATCGTCAATACTGGTATATCGCGACACCCCTAGCACATATTAATGCCTTATTCTGCATGACCATATTTTAGATCCCTTAGTCCTACTTCATACCTAAACTTAACCTTACAAATTAACAGTAAGCAGGAAATCAGGAGTTTATTGATGGAAAGGTCCTACAGTAGTTAATAGTGAATATGTGTTCCCTAATCTTTAGTATTACTATTATTTGTGTCTTTGTTCTTTAATATTCATCAGACATTATTTTTTCAGCTGTTACTAACATCATCAGCACTGATACAACAGTCACACCAGAGACGACCACAGCTGGTATGTTTCCGCTGTTGAATTGTGTTTTGGCTGAATGTTTGTGCATCTGTAGAATTGAACAGGTGTGTGTGAGTGTGTTTGTGTTTCTAAAGACGAGGAATAATAGACTACATGAAATGTACAGTTGCAGATCATTTTCATGATCATCTGTTCACAAGCTGTTATTAAAGCTGTGCTTGTTAAGTGAAATCATGTTTACACAGTTACTATGTGGTTGCGTGGGCAGTACATAATGAGTATAATGGTATACTTACTGTAATTATTTTGCAAATTCTTGCAAATTCATATTAGTCACCTTTATATTTTAGTATTATTATTTATTTTTTCCCACACTCTGGGCACATTCATCATTTTGATCATTGCTTTTTTAATGTTTCACAGATTACATCTTTTTCATTTGCTGTTTTGTTTTGTTATTGTCTTCATGCTGATTTCTGTCATTGCAGCTATAAATATAACACTGCAGGAAGGATGCGCCGTAAGTTTTAGAGTTGGACTCACAACTTCTATCAATCATAGTCTAAAGATATGATAAGAGATAAGAAAATAAGATATGCATTGTGGATTTTTGTAACATGAATGTTGACTTTCCATTTATTCTTTATGGATTTGTGCTCAAACTAACTTTTGTTTGCTATTAATATGTAAACCTGATCAAAATCATCAAATTCTGCTTTCACAATTGTGAGTCAGACCTCTGGAGGATGTCTTCAAAATCTCTTTGAGCAGATAGAGAACATTACAGCTCAAGTGCTTCCTTTAAATGTAAGTTTACAAGAGAAAAATCATAAAATTATCAAATATTTGTCAGTGACATACTGTAGATGATTGACATACGGTCACAGTGCATTCTTATTGGCTCTCTTGACTTTTATTTGTACGGTAACTGTATTTTCTGATTAATAAATTAGATTGTGACAGACATTTTGACTGTGGCCTTCAACGCTTCAGAGAAGATTTTAGAGACAACAAACCCAACTGAACTAGCCTCCTATGGAAACCGCATGTTAAAAACCAGTGAGAAACTAATTTCTACTTTAGTGAAGCCGACAAACACAAATGACAGTGTCAGTTTTACTCTTCCCACTGTAGGTAAGTGGAGACAATTATTATTGATGATGAAACTGAGATTATACATGATGTCAGTGACTTTATATAGTTCAGAGAGCAGCAGTGGGTCAGACAACAATGATAAATGTAGATACATTACTATATGATTGTGTATAGTTGGCATTTTGTTAAAAGAAAGCATAAAACGCTGCCTGTATCTTTTGTTGTTTATGTCAAAGGTCAGTATTTTGCCGTAAATTCATCCATTATTCAGTAAAAGCTTATCAAATTAGACAGATGCCACATGGATAGGTTGTCTCCTGAAAAAAAACTCATCCTGAAAAAGAAAATACAACATTAAACATGGTCTTGAGCATAAAAGATCTGACCTTTGACCTCCAGATGACCCTAATAGTTAAGAGTGCTTACATTTATTCAGTTTGCATATTAAATAAAAATTGACCTGAATGGTTCAAACTACATCAGAGATGGAAAAATCCAACAATAGTCAATATTTGTTTTGCGCAAATTCAGTGATTGAATTAAACTTTCATAAAAAAAGACATGCTATAAATAAATTACTGCAGCTCATAACTGCTTGTTTGTGTTTAATCAGAGGGACAAGTCTTCATGGTTGGACCACAGGTCACTTTAGATAAAATCCCTCGACTTGACACGACCAATTCATCTGTGGACATTGATCTCATTGGGATCGCCAAGAACAACTATGAAACACGTTTGTGAAATGATTCAGTGTGATTAAAAAATCTAAAAAGAGACACTGTACCATCACCACTAAGCCACATTTAATTACTTTATTGATTTTTTTGAATAGTATTGTGTTTCTGTCGCACAGGATCAGCTGCTGTGGCTTTCATGAGCTACAACACGATGGAGAATCTACTGAAGCCAGACTTCTTCAACACATCAAATGACACGGTTAAAACCATGATGTCCACTGTGATCTCAGCTACTCTTCCCAAAACCACCAACACTAAACTCACTGAGCCAGTCAACTTCACCCTCAAACACATCAGAGTGAGAGACTCACATGTGCTTTTGTCCCACCTGAGCACTGACGAACATCTGAAAACAAAACATCTAATTGTCATGAGCTGGGTTTGACTTTTCTCCTTGTTTCTCTTTCTCCTCTCATTACTGCTAGTTAGACTCAGCTGATTGACACCGCACCTGTTCTCTCTTTACCTTGATTCTCTCTGCTATTTTACTCTGCTTATGTGATTTCTTTTGATAAAATACTTCATGAAATATAATCATATATGGGTAACAGAGAAATTATAGCTACAATTAGCTTCAAGCTACACATGACAATTAATACAACCCTTTTACTTAAAACTTCTGACTGCGATCCAATGTAGATTTTGGTCAAATGATGAGGCAGAAATATATCGTTAGTAACATTGTAGAAGAATTTTATGGGGAAGATACAAAATAACAACTTCTGTGGGGCGTGAAGGAAAAGTAATGTAACTAATTACTGTTACCAGATAGTAATAAGTAAAGTAATAATGTTACTTGTTACAGAGGAGGCTCCCGTACCGCCTCCTCCGCACCACCAGAGGGAACTGTCCCCGGAATATTAGCGATCTCCCATTTGGACTCCATTTCCCATCATCCCTCATACCTGGGACTGATTACACAACCACACCTGCACCTCATTTACACACTCACACACACACACATATAAGCCACACCGTTACACGGACTCTTTGCGAAGTCTTGATTTGCCCTGGCTGTCATTTTCGAGCATTATACCCGTGTTTGTTTTCTGTGCATCTGATCTTGGACTGTTTCCTGATTCTCTGATTGTTATCTGCCTGCCCCGACTTGGATTGTTTCACCTGGACTCTGTTTGCTAGCCGCCTGCCCCGATCTCTCGCCTGATTCATGATTCTGTCTCTGCCTTGTCTCTGCTGTTCTGCCCTGCCGGTATTTGACCCTGTATTGTCTGACTATTCTTAATAAAACTGCAAATGGATCCAAACCCTTCTGACGTGTCGCAACAGAAGACTTCGCCAAACAGCGATCCAGCAGCGCGCATACAACTATCAACAGAACTCTCTGCTCAGGCCTCACAGCTCGCCATGCGTCAACACCAGTTAAATCGGCTCACCACATTGACCGAGGAGCTCGTCAAGGCACTGCAAGGTATCAGCATATCACCACCCGGAGCCGTTTCTCATCCGCCATCTGTCCTCAGTAACCCACCACCTGCTCAAACACCCCCAGTCAGCCCACGACTAGCTTTTCCTGAGAAATTCGATGGAGAACCTGCCAAATGCAAGGGCTTCCTACTTCAGTGCTCGCTCTTTGTCAACCAACAGCCCTCGCTGTACCCCACAGATTCTAGCCGCATTGCTTTCGTCTGCTCACTACTCACCGGGAGAGCATTGGATTGGGCCACCGCTGTCTGGAGGATGGACGGTTCATCATTCCCCACCTTCGAAGCATT